AGTGTGTCCACTACTTTCTAGACACCGCAGAATGAGAGTTCCATTATACCTACTACTATGGCTGATAACTCCAACCCTAGTCTTAAAATCACCACCTCTCTATTTAATGGTCAAAACTATTTAGCGTGGTCGCACAGTTTGACTATCTTTTTGAAGAGCAGAGGAAAGATGGGGTATATTGATGGCAGCATACAGGCACCCAGCACCACGGACCTGAGTTATGATCAGTGGGAGATCACCAACTCCCTCATTAAGGGTTGGTTGATACATTCTATGGTCCCGGAGATTGGAGAGGGCTATCTATCTATGGACACTGCATAGGATATTTGGGAAGCCGTGGCTACCACTTATTCACGGAAGGGGAATTTATCCCAGGCTTTCGAGTTACGCCAGTCCATTGAGAGGGCAGTATAAGGTGAGATGCCTGTTCTTTAGTATTTTACCTTCCTTAGCAATGGGTGAAAAAGGCTTGACCATCTTCAGGATTAGAAGCTTGTCTGTCCCACAGATTCTGTTGGTTACTGAAAGTTTGTGGAGCAGGAGCGCGCCTTCAAGTTCTTGGAAGGCCTGAATGTGGAGTATGATCCGATTCGAAGCAGAGTACTTAGTATGGATGTGCTTCCTTCTCTCCAGGAAGCTTTCTCTTATGTGCAGAATGAGGAGAGTCATCGCTCTACGATGCTTCCTTCTACCACCACTGATACTTCTACATTGGTTTCTGCACCTTCCCCGAGCTGGCGAGTGTGTCTCATGGTTCTCGTCCTTCATCTAAGAAGGATAATCTTTTCTGTGACTACTATCGTAGACCTTGACACACCCGAGAGACTTGTTGGAAGCTGCATAGGACTCTTTCTAGTGGTCGAGGAGACCGTCCTGGTACACGCAAAAGTAGATTTGGCCAGTCTAGAGGCCGAGGGGCCAATGTTCGGGCTCATCTTTCAGACACGGTTGAGCCACCACCTTCATCTCCCGCTATCTCACCGGCTATTGATGTTTTGGGATTATTTGCCTCAGATTTTGAGTTCGCTCTTTGCCACTTGCTAGACCGTCGAGCCTCCACTTCTGCTACAGGTGCACCCTCTTCTTCCTTTGCCAATTCAGGTAACTTGGCTTCCTCTCCATATACATTGCTATCTCATACCACTGTACTATGAATTATTGATTCTGGTGCTTCCGACCATATGTTTGGTTCCTCTCATTTATTCTCAGAGTATAACCCCTCTTCAGGTCAAGAAAAAGTGCGTATTGCTGATGGTACGATGTCGTCTATATCAGGAAAAGGTTTAATTCATGTCACCTCTTCCCTTCCTTTATTCTCTGTCCTCTATGTTTCTAATTTTAGTGTTAATCTTTTATCTTTGAATTATATTACTTGTGATTTGAATTATAGCATAACGTTTTTTCTTGATCGTTGTCTTTTCCAGGACCTTATCACAAAAAAGGAGATTGACAGTGGTAGAGAGGAACATGGTCTGTACATTCTCAATCAGATAGAAAAGATGGCTCACACATCTATTCAGTTACCATCCACCAAGGAAGACCTTTGGTTGTGGCACCGTCGTTTAGGACATCCCTCATTTTTACTACTTAAGCATTTATTTCCTTTTGTTTTTGAGAATAATTGTGTGTTTGATTTTCAATGTGAGTCTTGTCAATTTGGGAAATAACACCAAGCTTCTTTTGCTCCTTTTATTAATAAAAAATCAGTTCCATTTACTTTGATTCATTCTGATGTATGGGGTCCCTCATGTTTTGTGTCTTTAAAAGGTCAAAAATGGTTTATTACTTTCATAGATGATTGTTCTAGAGCCACTTGGGTCTATCTGATGAAAGATAAAAGTGAGGTGTTTTCTGTGTTTTACACCTTTCATAAAATGATTTGCACTCAGTTTGAGGCGGTTGTCAAAGTTTTGCGTTCTGATTATGGGGGGAGAATATCTTGACTCTGGTCTTGCCAGTTATTTCATCACTCATGGCATTATTCATCACACTTCCTACACTAATACCTCTCAACAAAATGGTATTGCCGAAAGGAAAAATCGCCATCTCCTTGATGTGGCCCGTTGTCTATCCTTTGAAATGCATGATCCTAGATCCTATTGGGGGGAAGCGGTTCTCACTGTAGCTTATTTGATTAATCGTCTTCCTACCAAAGTCCTTCAAAAACAAACACCTCTTCAAGTTCTGTTCGAGTCCACCTCTTCTGGGTCCTCCATTTCCCCTCAAACCTTTGGTTGTGTTTGTTTTGTCCATAACCATTCACCCATTCGTGGTAAATTAGATCTTAAGTCTCTTAAGTGTGTTTTCCTGGGTTACTTTGCCACACAAAAGGGTTATAAGTGTTATCATCCTCCCACTCGCAAATAATTTGTCTCCATGAATGTCATCTTTTTCGAGTCTCAGTCTTACTTTCTACCCTCTCCAGTATCCCGATCATCCCTTCAGGGGGAGTCTTGGTGTGAAAAGATTCCTGTTCCACTTATGTCGATGATTGAACAGATAGAGGATGATGAGCCAGCAGTTGTTGAAGTAGGCAAAGTGTACGTTAGAGACAAGGACAGACAAAAAGTCACCTGGATGCAAAAGACTACTTTCCCTCCTCTACTGCCAACTTCTTCCTCGGATGGGTGTCTAGAGTCACCCCCCCTTTCCTGAGAGACCAAGTAATTCTGATCCTAGTGCTCTTATTCTTGAGTTTTTAGATCTTGATGTTCGCATTGCTAATAGGAAGGGGGTTAGGTCATGTACTCAGCATCCTATTACGAATCATGTCTCTTATTCTAATTTGTCTCCCTCACATAAAGCCGTTTTGTCTAAGCTTTCTTATGTGAGTCTGCCTAACAATTTTCAAGATGCTCTCTCTATTCCTGAATGGAAACATGCCATGATGGAGGAAATGAGAGCTCCCAGCAAGAATGGCACTTAGGAGTTAGTGGAGTTACCTAGAGGCAAACATCTAGTTGGGTGTAAGTGGGTGTATACTGTCAAACACAATGTAGATGATTCCATCGAACGGTACAAGGCAAGACTGGTTGCTAAGGGCTTCACTCAGACTTATGGAGTAGATTACCAGGAGACATTTTCCCCGGTTACTAAGATGAACTCTGTGAGAATACTACTCTCTCTTGCAATAAATTTGGATTGGCCACTTCATCAATTTGATGTGAAGAATGCCTTCCTACATGAAGATCTTGAAGAAGAGGTCTATATGGATATTCCCTCTAGTTTTGAGGATGCTAAGTCTAAAGGTAAAGTGTGCAAGCTCCGAAAATCACTTTATGGGCTAAAGCAATCGCTTAGGGCGTGGTTTGAACGGTTTGCTCAAGCTATACTGAGACATGGGTTCAAGTAAAGTCAAGCTGATCACATTTTATTTGTGAAACACTCCGCATATGGTAAGACCACAGCTCTTATTGTTTATGTTGATGATATTGTTCTAATAGGGGATGATGTTGAAGAAATTTCTCGTTTAAAAGAATACTTGGTCAAGGTGTTTAAAATCAAAGACTTAGGTCATTTGAAGTATTGCTTGGGTATTGAAGTAACGCGGTCCAAGGATGAAATCTTCGTATGCCAGATGAAGTATGTACTTGACTTGCTTAAGAAAACTGGGATGCTTTGAGATAGACCATGTGATACACCTCTAGAATCGGGCCAGAAACTAAGTAAGGATCAAAGGGGAGAGCCAGTGGACAGGGGAAGATATTAGAGGCTAGTAGGTAAGCTCATATACTTATTCCACTCATGTCCAGACATTGCCATTGCAGTGAGCATGGTCAACCAGTTTATGAATGCCCTTACAACTTCTCACTTAGAGGCAGTTATGAAAATCTTGAGGTACTTGAAATCCTCTCCTGAAAAGGGTCTCTATTTCTCGAAACATGGCCATCACAGTGTGGAGGCATTTACTGATGCGGATTGGGCTAGATTGGTCACTGACAGACGATCAACTTCTAGATATTGCACATTTGTTGGAAGCAACTTAATCACATGGCGAAGTAAGAAATAGAATGTGGTTGCTAGATCTAGTGCTGAGGTAGAATTCGAAGCCATAGCTCAGGATGTATGTAAGTTGTTATGGATTAGACTATTGTTAGAAGACTTGGGGATCCATCAAACCGATTCCATGAGATTGTACTGTGACAAGAAGGCGGCAATCAACATAGCTCATAATCCGGTACAACATGACAAAACCAAACATGTGGAGATTAATAGGCACTTCATCAAGGAAAAGCTCACTAGTGGCACCAAATGTACTCCATTTGTGAAGACTGGAGACCAACTAGCAGATATTCTCACCAAAGGGATAGGGAGCAAACCATTTCATGACATTCTCAACAAGCTGGGCATGAGAGATATCTTCACACCAGCTTGAGGGGGGGTGTTAGAATAGGTAATTATATTATTTTGATTTGTTCCTTGATTGATGTAATGGGCTATTATGAGCTGGTGGCATGGTGGTGGGGCAACGGCGGCGGTGATGGCGACGGTGATGGTGGTAGTAGCCGTGGTGATGGTGGTGTGGTGGTGGAGGTGAGAGTGGTGGTGGCGGTGGTGTGGTGACATTGATAAAATTTTAATCAAGAAAACGTTTTCTGTCTTTTAATAGTGAAAAACATTTTTTGCCCAAATAAGCTTGTTTTCCATTAACCATGGAAAATATTTTCCGTTAACTTTCATTTTTCATTGTACCAAACACCAGAAAATACAAAAACATTTTGTAGAAAACGTTTTCCGCCTGAACAAACGAAGCGTTAGGGTTACACTTTAGTCCAAAATCACATAAGAGGTAATTGACTATTTTTAAATGACAAGAGGGTGAAGTGATACAGGGTTAAACCACAGGGGGTAAGGTGGATTTTGCCCAATAATAAGATAGCAGGCAACACCAGCATCCTGCCCCCACCAGAAAGTAAATTGAGACAATAATGTCATCAATTAGTGCTTAGATAATCAATTTAGAAATTCAATGTACAAGGAAGGCTTAATATGAATAAGTGAGAGAAATCTGATCATCAGATAGATTCAAGACAACTGAAAGTATATTATTGTGGTCAACAGAACCTGGTATCAGCTACAAGACATCATCACTGTTCTTCTGAATCCAATAAAATAATTTTACTAGCAAATATGATACTGAATAACCCGCTCACCCTGGAAAATAAAAAACAAAAATTTACATTCTAATAACAGGAAAAAGAAAAAGAAAAAGAAAAAGAAAAGGGGAGTATTCGTCTCTTTTTCATTGTATGCTCCTCTTTTTTGGGTACAGAAAAAAGACGTTTGGTACAGAAAAAATGTACAAATAACATTCCGAAAAAAAGTTAATTTCAAGACCTTCGCATGCGAATCTTGCATGTAAAAACTTCTAGTAAGGAGCTACTAAACAAACCCAATTTGTGGTTTCAAATTGTTGACTCATGCAGCTCAGCTAGTTGTTATTATGCATTTATAACTAAATGTCAGATGATCATTACAATTACCACCAGACCTTTTTCCATGAGATAAGACCACATCAGATATTATGGAAGTTACTGTTATATAAGAAAAAAAAGGAAAAATTTCTTACCACAGGACTTAAAAATTTGAACTATGTACTGCTAGTAGAGGCAGTAGCTGAAGTGACCGGGTGAGTAGAGGCAAAAAGAGCACAGCACGAAAAGACTATTATAAATTAGCTTCAGGGACATCACAAGCCCATCTGTTTCATCCACAATGACCACTTAACAGCCTCTAAAAACTTATCATTCCTCCGCAGTGCTGTGATCAGATTAGTGTAGGTTATTCTATCGGGTTCTATCCCACTTTCCCTCATTTCCTTTACCAAAGCCACAGCATCTTCAACCAGTCCTGCTACTCCATATGCCTTTATCAATGTGTTATAGCTGCACAAGTCAGGCCCAAGACCAGTAGTTGCTTTCAATTCCATTAGCACACCAGCAATGTCTTCAATCCATCCTTGTTCTCCATATATATTAATCATAATATTGTACGTATAGTGATCTGAAGCACAGCCTGACTCTCTCATCCTCTGCAAAACACTTGTAAAATTCTTCATTTGGCCATTTTTTCCATAGGCATCCAACATACAATTGTAGGCTTCAAGAGAAACTGAAAAACCATTACACTGCATTTTTCTAACAGTTGATGACATATTCTTTAAGCACTTATTTTGCCCATATGCAGCAACAATAGTATTGTAAGAGATAACATCAACCAAGCCTCGCTTTCTAGCCATCCAGAACACCTTCCTAACCTTTTTAAAAAGCCTGGATTTTCCATAAACATTGAGCATAACATTGAACGTAATGGTATTAGGTGCAAAACCACGCTGAAGCATCTCATCAAAAATCCTTGAAAGCTCATCAACTGGCAACGCATGAGCACAGCAGTTTATCACACAATTGTACATTTCCTGATCCCAACTGACTCCAGTCTTTACAATCTTGTAGTAATAAAGATCTGCCAATTTATCTAGCATCCCACATTGTTGATAAATACGGAGCATATCACGGAGCAGATAAATGTCTGGAACAATATTCTTTTGTTTCTCCATTGTGTCTAGAACAGAACAAGCATCATTTATACGTCCAGCTTTGACATACATTCTTACTACAATGCTAAAAGCAATCATGTCCAAGGCTACACCTGCCGATTTTAACTTCAGATAAAGGTTCTCCGCTTCTGTGAATAAATTCATCACACTGTAAATGCCCATCATTGTGCATATGATGTGTAAGTTTGGCTTATCGTCAGATTTTGGCATATGGGCATATATCTTGACCGCATTCTCAAGATGACCCAAATCTTTGCATGAGCAAATTAATAAATGGTACAAGTTATCCTCAAAAGATTGATCCTTCCACCTTTTTTCCTGTAAAATTTTTATTGCATCGCCCACCAAGCAGTGTTTCACATAAGCCATGACAAGAATTGAGCATGATGTCTGATTAAACAGAACATGTTCATAAAAGGAACCTTTCACAACTCGAGGCACTTTATCAAACCTTCCGGCTCTCTCATATGCTTGTAAAAGAATACCAAGGACAGAGGAATATTGACAACCCATCATCATCATATCCTCGAGTGTTGTACTGGCAGCCTCTTCATCCTCGTGATTGGCTTGCAAATTTATCATTGTGTACATGTTGGATGAGTTAGGTTGAAATCCTGCCTGTTTGAGCTCCCTATAGTACCAGTTTGCCTCCTTGTAGCTGTTGGCTCGACCCCACCCTTCAATCATGGACCTGTAAGTTGTTTCATCAGGCTCTATTTGAACAGCTCCAAGGTTTTGAAACAAGCGTTGTGCAGCGTCCATTTTACATATCTTCCCATATCCAGTGATCAATGTGTTGTATGCAATTATATTTGGGGGAAATCCAGCTTCTTGCATTGAAACCAATACCAGCTCAGCCTCCTCCAACTTGCCTTGCTGACTATATGCGTTCAGTAATACCAACCAATTCTCCATATTCAGAATTACTTCATCCTCTCTCAAGAACCATATAATTTCTTCTGCCTTATTATACAGACCCAGACGAGTATAGATTGTGATCATTGCCGAATATGCAGATTGACATCTAAGTCCGAAATTCCTCATTTTGAAAAATGTAAATTGCGCTTTCTCAACATTCCAACCCTTCTGATAAAGACTCATGAGCATGCCAAATGTAGCCTCATTGGGACAAACACCATTTTCCAACATCAAGCGAAACCACCTTGCACCCAGTGGATTCTGCTGAGCGGGAAGTACGGGAATATTGTGTGAAAAGTTCTCTCCCAATTCAACATGCAAGTCATCAATGCAGTCCGTGTAAGCTCCACTACCCCTTTCAACATTGAACTTTTTTTGTGAATTCCGCCATTAACTGAATTTAATTCTGCCATTGACATTAATAATCAATCAATAGAAAAACATAAAAATATTAACTCAATGGAGTGCTTGTAAATATCGTTTTCAACGTTGAATTCTGCCATTGACAATAATAATAAATCAATAGTAAAAATAATAATAAATCAATAGTTAAAATAATAATAATTAAAAACTAAAATAATAATAATTAAATGGTATTAAAAAATAATTCTCATTTTTCTCATATCTGGCATTATTGTTAAATCTTGAATCGAATCGTGAATTGGTTTGCTAAAATAATGAATCATGAATCGTATGATTCACTTTATTTGCGCCCGACCACTAGTGTTAGATAAAGTGAATCATACAATTCACTATTCATTATTTTAGCAAAACGATTCAAGATTTGACAATAATGCATGAGATGAGAAAAATGAAAATTATTTATTAATAGTATTTAATTATTAATAATTTAGTTTTTAATTATTATTATTTTAACTATTGATTTATTATTATTTTTACTATTGATTTATTATTATTGTCAATGGCAGAATTCAACGTTGAAAACGATATTTACAAGCACTCCATTGAGTTAATATTTTTATGTTTTTCTATTGATTGATTATTAATGTCAATGGCATAATTGAATTCAGTTAATGGCGGAATTCACAAAGGAGTTTAACGTTGAAAGGGGTAGTGGAGCATACAGGGAATTCATTGAAGACTTACGCGTTGAATTGGGAGAAGTCTTTCCACACAATATTCCCATACTTCCTGCTCAGCAGAATCAACCCACTTGATGGTTCAACATCATACTGCGAACCAACAATCATTGGATCAGACTGAGGATTTGACGGGATAACCTCTACTTGCACGCCTACCAAATGGAGTTTTTGAGGAGTGGTTGGAGTTCGTGCATACTTCTCTTACTTCTCGACATCTAATTTTCGAATCCACTTTCTTGGGTTACGATGGTAGTGAGAATGCCTTGGAGCGTATTTCTGGACATGGTATGAATAACATAGCCGTTGGCTCGACCGCACTGATTAATACCGTAAATAATCTGGCTACCTCTACGATCTTCTTCGCAGATTGCGCGAGGTTAATGATTATCGTGATTCAAATGATCTACGAATCGATTAGATTTACTCGTATTTCCGATCTTCTCGTTGTCACATTCAGCAACAATAGTTTTTTTGCCACTTCCTAATTGGATGCTGGCACTAGTGCTTTGCTGGGGAGACCTCTTTGCCGCACTCTTGCGAGCCGATATTGATCCCAATAATTTCTTCCGACTTCCACAACCCAATGATATTAATATTGTGTTCGCTCTGGATATGGTTGCTGTACTTGGCATCTTGATCAAGAGCGTTCGCGCATCATAATTATCAAACCGTAAACCTCAAAGGGTTTAGGGTTTTAGGGTTGGGGTAGGGGTTTAGTTACGGTTTTTAGGGGTTTGGGGTTTAGGTGTTTGGGTGTTGGGGTTTAGGGTTGGGTGGTTTGAGGTTGGGGTTGGGGTTGGGGTTTGAGGGTTGGGGTTTGGGGGTTGTTGGATTGGGTTTTGGGTTAGGGTTTAGAGGGTTAGGGTAGGGTTTGGTGTCCGGGGTTAGGGTTTGGGGTTTCAGGGTGCGGGGTTTGGGAGTTTATGGTTTCGGGGTTTATGGTTTAGGGTCGGGGTTTTTGGAGTTTACGGCTTGGGGTTTTCAGATTTTGGGTTTAGGGTTTCGGAGTTTAGGGATTAGGGTTTGGGATTTCGGGTTTGGGTTTAGTGGTTAGGGTTTAGGGTTATGGCGATTTGGGGTTTGGGGTTAGGTTTTGGGATTTAGGGTTTATGGTTTGGGATTTTGGGTTTTGGGGTTTTATGTTTCGGGTTTAAGGGTTTTGAAATCCTAAACCCTTAACCCCTAAACCCCTAACCCCAACACCCAATCCTTAGCTCCTAACCGTTAAGCCTAAATCCTAACTCTTAAACCTTAAACCCTAAACCACCGACCCAAAACCCCTGATCCCCGGACCCTGGAACCCTTAACTCCTAACCCCTAGGCTTAAACCCTAATTCCTAAACCTTAAACCCTAAACCTCTGATCTTCGACCCTACCCTGGACCCTAGACCCTCGACCTTAGTCCCTAGACCCTAATAGAACCTTAAATCTTAAACCTTAAATCCTAATAGACCCTAGACGTTAGACCCTAGATCGTAAACCCTAATAGACCCTAGACCCCAGACTCCAAACTCGAAAACCCCAAACTCCAAACACCAAATCTCAAACCCCAATCCCGAACACCAAATCCTAATAGACCCTAGACCCTAAACCCTAATAGTTCCTAGACCTTAGACCCAAATAGACCCCAACCCCCAAACCCTAACCCCAACCCCAACCCCAAACCCAAAATAGTGAACCCCCTAAAAACTCTCTAAACCCCAAACACTAAACCCCAAACCCCAAATCCATAATCCAAAACCCAAAGCTCAAAACCCTAAAACCCTAATCCCCTAAAACCATCAAACCTAAACCTCAAAACCTAAAACTTAAAACCCAAACCCCAAACCCAAACCTAAACTCGAAACTCGAAACCCCTAAAACCCTAACCCCTAAATCCCTAAACCCAAACCCCAAACCCTAACACGTAAACTCTAAATCCTAACCCCTAACCCTTAATCCCTAACCCCTAACTCCTAAACCCTAACCCTAAATCCTAATCCCTAATCCTAAATCCTAAACCCTAAAAAACCCTAAACCCACAAACCAAAAACCTCAAATCCCAAACCCTAAACCCTCAACCCAAACCCCAAACCCTAACCCGTAAACTCTAAACTCTAAACCCTAACCCCTAAGCCCCTAACTCCTAATCCCTAATCCCTAAACCCTAAACCCTAAACCCTAAAAAACCCTAAACCCACAAACTAAAAACCCCAAACCTTAAACCCTAAACCCCCAAACTCTAAAAGCTAAATGCCGAACCCCGAAACCCCTAAACTTCAAACCCCTAAACTCCAAACCCCAAACCCCAAGACCTAATCCCAAACCCTAAACCATAAACCCTACCCTAACTCCTAAACCCTTAACCCCTAACCCTAAACCCAAATCCTACACCCTAACCACTGACCCCAAACCCAAAACCCAAAATGCAAAACCCAAAAACCCCCTAAAAATCCTCTAAACCCCAAACACTAAACCCCAAATCCATAATCCAAAACCCAAAGCTCAAAACCCCAAAACCCTAATCCCCTAAAACCCTAAAACCATCAAACCTAAACCTCAAAACCTAAAACTTAAAACCCAAACCCCAAACCTAAACTCGAAACTCGAAACCCCTAAAACCCTAACCTCTAAATCCCTAAACCCAAACCCTAACACGTAAACTCTAAATCCTAACCCCTAACCCTTAATCCCTAACCCCTAACTCCTAAACCCTAACCTTAAATCCTAATCCCTAACCCTAAATCCTAAACCCTAAAAAACCCTAAACCCACAAACCAAAAACCTCAAATCCCAAACCCTAAACCCTCAACCCAAACCCCAAACCCTAACCCGTAAACTCTAAACCCTAACCCCTAAGCCCCTAACTCTTAAACCCTAATCTCTAATCCCTAAACCCTAAAAAACCCTAAACCCACAAACCAAAAACCCCAAACCTTAAACCCTAAACCCCCAAACCCTAAAAGCTAAATGCCGAACCTCGAAACCCCGAAACCCCTAAACTTCAAACCCCTAAACTCCAAACCCCAAACCCCAAACCCCAAGACCTAATCCCAAACCCTAAACCATAAACCCTACCCTAACTCCTAAACCCTTAACCCCTAACCCTAAACCCAAATCCTACACCCTAACCACTGACCCCGAACCCAAAACCCAAAATGCAAAACCCAAAAACCCGAAAACCCCAAATCACAAACTCTAAACACTAAATCCCAATCCCTAAACCCCCAAACCCTAAAAGCCAAACCCCGAATCCCGAACCCTGAAACCCCAAAACCCAATTATCCCAAACTTTAAGCCCTAAACCCTAAACCCCAAACTCTAAACCATAAACCCTACCATAACCCCCTAAACCCTACCTTAAACCCTAACCCTCTAACCCCAAAACTTCAAACCCCAAACCCCCAAACCCTAAACCCTCAACCCTACACACTAGACCCTCAACCCTAAATCCTAGGGCCTCAAAAACCAACCCCCAACCCTAAAATGAACACCTAAAACCCAAACCCTAACACCCAAACCTCTAAACCCCTAACCCTCAAACTTCAAACCCTAAACTAAACCCCTAAAACCCTAAACTAATCTAAACCACAAGCCTCTAACCCTAACCCCTAACCCTTAACCCTTAAACCCCTAACCCCCGACCTCCCAAACCCTAAACCGTAAGCAAGATGATGATGATGACGATGACGATGATGATGATGCGTGGATGGTCCTGAATAAGATACCAAGTACGGCAATCGCATCCAATACGGCAATCGCATCCAAACCCAAACCTGAAACTCGAAACCCAAACCCCTAAAACCCTAACCCTTAACCCATAAACTCCTAACCCCTAACCCTAATCCCTAAACCCTAACCCCTAACCTAAATCTCAAACTCTAAACCCTAAAACATCCTAAACCCTCAACCCAAAACGCAAAACCCAAAAACCCCCAAACCCTAAGGGTGTGTTTGATTGGGGGGATTAGGGGGGACTATTCACTATTCGGATTGCTTATCCGAAGGAGTGAGTAGTCCATTGTTTGTTTTTTTTTAGTCCGCCGGACATGGAGTCCGGCCGGACTCCTTAACCCCCATATGGGGGATTATACTATCCCCCGGGGGGGTGGGACAGTTTTAGGGGGACAATTTACTGTTGGGATTAGGTGGTAAAATGACCATTTTGACCATCTACTATTTAATTATATATTATATTTAGTAAAATTCAATAAAATTTAAATGTCTCAATTTAAAAATAAAATAATTTTATTTAACTTTTTATTGATGTTTTATTTATTTAATTTTTTAAAAATAATTTATTTATAGATATTTTATTTTAAAATTTTGCTTATATTTTATTTAATTTCATTATTTAAATTTTAATAGATGTTTTATTTAATTTCATTGTTTAATTATTATTATTTTTAAAAACAAATTTATTTAAAATTTTAATTAAAAAAATAACATATATTTTTATTGATATTTTATTAATTTATTTATTTAATTTTAAAAAATAAATTTATTTAATTGTGTAAAAAATAAAATAAAATAAATTTTTATTTAATCTAGCTAAAAATAATTAAAATATTAAAGATATATTTAACATTGCTATTACTTAGTAAATAATTGAAAAAGGGTAAAATAGTGTTTTGTTCATTTATCCAATCCAGTCCGTCCAACAAAATATTGGATTCACTAAAAATAGTTTTTTCTAGACATCTAATTCCATGAAAAAACAAACACAGGACACATATCCAATCCAACCAAATAGTCCGGGGGATTCACAGTCTCAGGACTCAAGTCCGATGGATTCTAATCCCCCTTATCCAGTCTGTCCAATTAAACACACCTTAAATGCCAAGCCCTAAACCCTAAACCCCCAATCCCTAAAAGCTAAACCCCGAACACTGAAACCCCGAAACCCCAAAATCCCAAACCCTAAACCCCCAACCATATAACCGTAACCCCTAACCCCCAACCCCAACCCCAACACCTAACCCCAAGCCCTAAACCATAAACCCTACCCTAATCCCTAACCCCTACACTCTTAACCCCCAACCTCTAACCCCTAACCCTAAACCTTACAGCCTAACCTCTAATCCCTAACCCCAAATCCTAAACCCTAAATTCTAAACTTTAAATCTTAAAAAATCCAAAACCCAAAACCCCAAAACCCCAAAACACCCAACCCCAAATCCCAAGCCCTAAACCCAAAACCCAAAACCCAAATCCCAGAACCCAAAACCCAAAAATTCGAAAACACTAAACCCTAAATCCCCAAACCCTTAAAGCTAAACCCTAAACCCTGAACCCCGAAACCCAAAAACTCCAAACCATAACCCCTAAACCCTAAACCCAAAATCATAAACCCCGAACTCCAAAACCTAACCCCAAACCCCAAACATCAAACTCCGAACCATAGACCATAAACCATAAACCCTACCCTAACCCCCTAAACCCTACCTTAAACCCTAAACTTTAAACCCTTAAAGCTAAACCCTAAACCCCGAACCCCGAAACCCAAAAACTCCAAACCCTAACCCCTAAACCCTAAACCCAAAATCATAAACCCCGAACTCCAAAACCTAACCCCAAACCCCAAACACCAAACCCCGAACCCTAGACCATAAACCATAAACCCTACCCTAACCCCCTAAACCCTACCTTAAAC